AAGGGAGGGAGGGAGGGAGGGAGGGAGGAAACAGAATGAAGACAGTAGTCCTGAGACAGAAATCAGTAGGCCGCTGTTGCACACTCTGGTCTTCACCCACCAGCATGCAGAGGGCTGTGGATAAATGCATCTCCTTCAAAGAAAACAATTCTGCAAAACAATTCACAAATGGACAGAAAGAAGAGCAGGATACCATCGAGCATTTTAACCAAGGACGTATAATGCCTTGAAGCTCTAGATGCATTCCTAAGCCTCAAGTTTCTTTTCCTTTCTCTTTACAGTCATGGTACAAACAGTGAACATTGATTGGTCTTTGCAGATAGTCTTTATCTTGGGAAGTAGAAGCCAGACTTCACTGCATCAATATCAGAAATCAGTGTCTTAGCCAGGAAAATCCCAAATATCTAATGAAAAATAGGGGGGTTGGGGGTGGGGGGAGAAAGAGAGAGAGAGGTCCAATTAAGAATAGATAACTGATTTCATAGTTTAATTGTTCCCCCTATAACAATAGAAACCAATATTTTCTTGTTGGCTATTTCGTGTTTTCAAGGCACAAATGATCAGGCTCAAATTACCCTACTTGGACCCATTATGCAAAGACCTAGCTCTCTTGGAGAAGGCTCTCATGCTTGGAAAGGAAGGAAGGAGAAGAGGATGATCAGCAGCAAGGTGGATGGACTCAGTTACAGTGGTGATGGGTGCACCACAGAAGATTTAAAGGAACATGTTAGGGGCAGATTGTCGTGGAGAAAATCTATCCATGTGATCGCTAAGGGTCGACACTGACTTGATGGCACATAATGAATATTTCATGTTGTTTCATGGCATACAAAATGTTTTGAATTCAAAAAGTTCCAGCCTCAAGTGCCCCACATCAATTGGGTTAAAAAATAAAATGTAAATGTGCCAGGTTCTAAAGAAAGCTATACTGGCTCAACCTCTGCCTTGGTATTTCTGAAAACTGAAGCTGATAATGTTCTCTCTCCAACTCTGAATGATAGGGAGGTGTGTCCCCATGTTCCTCTGCTGTCTTCTTCTCAGGCTTCCAGATGTGAAAGAAGTGACTGTGATGGGTATGAATAAGAACTGAGAGGTGCCTTCTGGATATGCCTTGCTAGAGGTGTGTGCAAAATGAGCAGAATTCAGAACACAGTTTCAAACCCCAGGCAGGATGTTCTAACCCCACAGGAAGTATTCTGAGCTCAAAATACTTCTGGTAAGGTCAGAAAAGCAGTGAAACATTTCCTGTGTTCAGCAATGGAATACTGAAGGGGCATAACCTCACTTTCTCAATTATTATGGTTGGGGAACAATTTAAATAAGCCAATGATTAAAAAGTGAAGCAGGGACAGACGAGGAAGATGGCAGATGTTTAAACAACCACTGTTTTCATCACTGTCTGTTAAAGGGGTTTGGGGATCCTAAATGGATATACTGGTCAACAAATTATAGAATGGACCTGTCAATTTCCGAGGTGCAATTCCACTTTTTGCAAATGTGTGCTATCCCACGTTTTCCACAGACAGACAGAGAGACTTTAGCCTCGCCCACCACACCAATCTTCCCAATGTACAGGTGACTTCGAATAATGGGTTTCAGCACTAACTCACTGCAGTCTTTGGCTGGGAAAGCTCAGATATTTTTTTAAAAAATGAAATAAAACAAAGACAAAGCCAGGATTCCTGATAAAAAGTTTCTATGGAAGAACTGCCCGATACACACAGTAGACAAACACCGATTCATTAGATGTCCAAGCTTAGCTACCTGGAAGATACAGAATGAATTCTCTTCCTTATAGAAATAATTGGAAACTGCGGATTTTCACAGAGCCCTATCGTAGGGTCCAACATTTGGAAGTTTTCCAAAAGAGCATGTAGCTCGATTCCTTTATCCTTTATCTTGTGACCAAAAATTGATTGGTAGCAAAACAGTGGCAGTGTTAAAAAAAAAAAAAAAAAAAGGAAGAGCCATATACTTCTGTTCTCTACATTCTCCATGCCTTCCAGTTTAGTTAAAGTTCAGCAACAGTACCTTTGGATGAAATTATTCAGTTCTCTAACTTGGTATTCCTCTGTAAGAAATACACAATCCTAGTGGTGCACAAGACATTTGGTTTCAAACTGTGTCCAGGACAAAACTTCGCACCACGTCCCATTCCCAAGGGCCAAAGAGCTGTTTTGAGCTCAAAAACACTGTTAAACAATGCCCCCCCGAGCCCGTTTTACCTGCAAAACAGGACACTTCGCAAAGTTTTCTGCTCAAAATAGTTTGAAATGAAATATTCTGCAGTCTCTTACAGACAACAGGAATGAGTATCAACCCTCAGCAAGCTGGGAAATAAATAAATATAAATATACATCTTTAAGCCTGCAGCCACTCACCTGCAATAATGAAATTGCAACAAAGACTCCTGCAACGATATAAATATTTCTGGGCAGCCAGGCTTCCAGGGCAGTGATGCAGCCCCTTGTGAAGATTCGTTCCCCCCAAAGTGATGAAGACTAGAAGAAATGGGGAAGGATGGCATGAAGAAAGATTAATACTTGCATGTAGAACTGCCAGCAAATTCCAGAACATGGGAAGTTGGGGGGAAAAATCCCTGAGAAAGACAACAGCAACCATTTCTGTGATGTTGCCAAAAATACTACATGGATGTGAGGCAACCAACCACTGAGGTGATATTCCACATTTTTAAAAAAAAGATTTGAAGAACAAGAACGGGAAACGATCTGCTCTGCTAAAAACGCTTACAATGATTCTCCTAGAAAAGCTGGATTCTACAAAGCAAACCTCATCATTGGGTCCTTTGCTCAGCAAACGTCATCAAAAATTACTACTTAAGTTTTACTCTGGAGCAAAAGTCCTCCAAACTGCTCCCAACAAATAACACCTTAAACTAGAAGCTGAACATGTGTCATCTGACAGCAAGAAATGAAATGAAATGAAATGACACAAATAACAATCACACATAAACCTTTCTTTGGGGAACCCTAGAGATCATGCTTTCCCTCCACCAACATTATCACCATAAATATCTTGACTCAACAAGGCCACCCTGTAGACTTTGCAGAACAGGAGGAAGTTCTGTGGCTCCCAGACAGAGAGCAAGGCTCAGAACAATCGGAGTTTTGTGGCGCACAGAACCAGGCACCTTGCCAGCTTGCCACGATAAATAACCCCACCCGCCTTCCTTCTACAGGACGCCCAAAGCCCTAAACAAGGACAAGGTTATTTGCCCCAGTTCTGACAATCACAAGGTTCAAGGAACAAATTTCTTGGAACACCACAGGCTTCTGGTGCTGTATCATTTCACCAGTCACACAAATAAACCACACCACATCGGCATGGATGTGGGAAGTCCTCCATGCTTGAAGTATGTGCTGAAGACTAACAGGAAACCCAAGGGACTGAAAGATGTGCCCATTAGCCAGGCTGCTCGTGATTCTGGAAGGGCTACAGAAATGGAACTACGGATACGAAATCAACTCCTAAATCAACACATGAATTAACATATTTCATTGGCTAATGCTTTGCTTTTTTGCTTCTTTTCAGCGGGCCCTAAAGAACAGTGGGATGGCGAAAGGATGTGAGAAATTAGGGAAGGGAGAATTAGGAAATACTCACCATATTTCTGACATCATAGCCACACTGGGTATTCACCACATTTTGCTGAAGAGAGAGAAGAAAAAGAGTTGATACAGCTTTTTACAATGGGATTGATCTGCACACTTCATGGGATAGATTTATTTTGCCTTTTCTTCAATAGCTCCCACTGACACCATTTCTACCCCCCAGTGACCAGACCAAAATTGTCCAGCAATACTCCAGAGCTGAAGTAGACTTGAACGTGGGCCTCCTTAATCCTTCACCATTAATTTACACTGATTCTCCAAATGGATCAATCCGGTAAACAGGTTAAAACATGCTGCATGATCAATTCTTATGCCAGAGACCAAAGGTGAAATATGCAAAGCATCCCTGGGAAATGGTGACATAGCATCCTTTTATGTTGAATTTATTACCTTGTTTATTGATTGACTCATTGAATTAAAAAAAAAATACACAGAATCCCAACCTTCTCTGGGGGACAAGGAAATACTTAAGGTTGTAAAAGGTGAGTCTCATCCTTATAAGTACAGGAAACACTTCCCTGTATCTCAAACCTGGCATAAAGGTAGGGAGAAGAAGATAGGAGATAACTCACAGCAGGGTCTTGGACACAGCATGAAAAGGGGACCCCACACCTTTCACGACTTTTGCTTGTACTACTGCAGTTGAAATAAATGTTAAGGTTCCAGTCGTTTGGACTCTGAGCACCACAACATTGGTTCTGCAAGAGAGAAACAAAAGAGGGATGCATTGAAGCATCCGAGATTCCCCACAACTGCTGAGGGAGGAAGCGAAAAAGCCAAGCAGAATCTGACAGCTTTAGAACGCCCGGAAATTCCAGGGCAGAAGGCCAGACCACAGAACCGACACAGCATCCTAGGAAAAGCAATGGAATACCTTTCCTTATTATTCCCAAGAAAATGGCATGAGCGGAACCATGAAGACCAGGAACTAAGCTTAGCTTCCATGGGCAAAACTCTTCAGAGGCTCCAATAAATGTCAAGAGAACAAAAATGTGGCCATTTAATCTTTTGTTATCCCACTGTCTTCTTATGAGTTACTGCGGAAGACACGGATCACTCCTGACAGAGATCTGAACCGATAGCTTGCAAGGGGTTTGGAAATTATGCTGAAGGTCACATGAAATTAAACAGCGGACTGCAGGCTGCCCACCCCTATCTTAGACAGAAGAAAGACTTTTGCGAAAACAACACAGCGGGGGGAAAATCTGCATCTTGCACAGATGTGTTCCCCCTCTGTGGTCTTCTGTCATTTGCTAATGTCACCTCCCCTGCCGCTTCTCCTTGATCAAGCTCTCCTTTACGTAAAAGAGGGACAGCATTCATTACTGGTTTCATAATTTAAAATAAAACATGATGCAGATCAAGTATGATTAACAGAACAGCTTACCATTTTCTGCAATGAATCTATGAGATTCTGCAAGTCAATGTCATCTCTGTAAGCCTTAATATTGTTGTTGAAGAACGTCTCCACCTGGGCTTTCACCCAGTCCTGGAACAAGAAAGCCAGCACAGCCAGGGCCAACTCCAGAATGAAAATGAGCACAATTGTGCCACAGAACTACAGCAAAGAGAAAGGAAGTGGAGAGAGAAAGAGACAACCAATTTCAGGAAGGAGAAGAATGCTGTTGTCAAAAAAAGAAGAAAGCCAGTTGGTTTTCAACTGTGCAGCAGGGAATTCAAGTTGTTCTTCAGGAGATCATCAGCAATTTAATCAGAAGAGCAGTAATTCCATGGAATTGGGCAAATTGATTCTGACTGCATGGAAAAGGCCAACTGCTTCTGATTTTCTGCTGCAATTCACAAGGATGTGAGTAATTCCCCAATTCTGACATATCTGGTTAGTTCCCCATGATTATCTAAGAATATGCCAGAACTTTTGAGTTTGGTGCCTGATGTCATATACGGAAATGGTACCCTGAAGACAAAAAGTCTGAAAATCCTTGAAATAGGTCAAGACTTTTCATGCAGAAAAAGTGTCTGTCTAGTTTTCACAAGGAAAATAAAAACTCACCATGACCTCCCCACCTGACCAAAACCTCCTGTACAATCATATCACCTAACGCTCCATGCTTTGCTTGTAGCAATCTTCAAAATCTATTAAGATGCTATGCCATAATTTGCAACACTTGACAACAAATGGGGAAAGCTAGATAGAGAAAATTGGTTCTTTCAAAAAACGGGAGCAGGAGAACACCAGTCTGCCTTCTGCAATAACACATATATCAGATTTATTTGAGCTATGAGAGAAACTGAACTGGTAACAAAGAGAGAAACCGAGACCTTTAAAGGTCTTTAGCACACTGTTTGTTTCTTCTACTTAACAGTTTATGAGCAATTAATGTAAATTCCAAAAAAACAATATTGTTACAGTCATGATTTATATTTTGTTGCATTTTATGCTTATGTCTGCAGAAGCTTCATTTGTAAGCAACTCGCAAGATATAAAATTGCAATAGATAAATATGTTGATAAATGCAACAGAAAACTATTGCATCATATGGATGGCAACCGTACATAGCAAAAAGCAGAAAACCTCTTCTCTTCAATCCCTACCTAATGAAATATTTATTCCCAGACTTCATATGCAACCAGAAACACTGTGAAAATTATCTTTGCTATCCCACAGGTGAGATACTGCAAGGTTCTTCATCTCTGACAGTTATGGCAGGAATTCTGGAAGTTGGAATTTGAACAAATCTAGAGAGAAACAGGTTGGGGAAGGTTCATTAAGGCTTTTGTCCTCCCGTTTGTTTCTTGGTTGATACTAGGGGGAACATTCAGGATCTTCAACGTATGAACTTAGTTCCCCCAACAAAGGCAAAAACAGACACCCCCCCCATGCTAGAGTCTGGTGGAAATGTTTCTCAGACACACTGCATTCTAAAAAAATGTTTTTTATGGCAATGAATGTAGGCTGGAACTACTTTTTCATGTAAGAATGTGGATCTGCGCTCAGACTTTGGAACCTGGTTTGATTCTGTACCTTATTTCCTCCTATGGAGACAACCACAACAATCTAAGAGTCTCTACAAAATCTCTTTTCCAGAGCAACTGGCTATAACCACATAGGAGCAAAAATGCATCAAATCTATCACACTTCCAGCAATCTAGTTACATACAATTCCTTGTATATTTGATCAGCTTTCCCAAATCTGGTTCTTTCCAAATGTGTTGGGATTACAACCCCCCGTATTCCCAAGAGCATGACCAAAGCTTGGGAATTCTGGGAACGACTTTGAGAAAGCTGTGTTCACAGTTAAATGAAGATGCAAATTTCATGGTTTAGAACTTTCAAATTAAATTTCAGCCTTGCAGTATTGCTATTATAACTGGGATAAAAGAAACGGATGACCACTAGATGGGAGGAAAGAGTCTTCTGTATCTCCTTGCTGCCATCTGATGGTGGCTTGAACTTTTGGATTCAGTAGCCTAGTTCTACCAGAATGGTACTGCCCTGATAAAAACACATCGGAATCCAGGAACTTACAAATTTCAAAAGGCAAATATTTTCCCGCAGTGCTCCCACGCAACCAGCAAAGCCCAGGATGAACATCACCCCTCCAACAAACAGGATAAGGAACACAGGATCAAAGCCATGGAGGCGGGTCATTTTCGACAGGTCAGACAGCACGCCCTAAAATGAAACACAAATGAACAAGGATGAGGACCTGCTGAAGCTTCATGTGTGACCTACTATGGAGGTAGCATATTCCCAACTATAGTCCAAAGGGCTGTGAGCATGCCAGGGTTCTATGTAAGTGCAGAAAACGTTTAGCCTTTGATAACAAGTGCAAAATCCTATTTTCCGAGTGCCTCATTTCATTTACTGTCTTTAAATCGGTACGGGGATACCTCAGAGGGTGCAAAGCAGTTCCATGGGTGGGAGGTGGCAGGAGGGATAGCTAAAGAATGTATAAATAGAATGAATCAATCAATCAACCATCCTGAGACAAACAACCTTCAAACAATTATCCGTATCTGTGTAATATGTACCAGCTTTCTATAATCTAACAGTCTGCAGATTTGTTATATTACAACACCCGAATTTACAACAGCTAGGGAATAGCTTGCTGAGAACTTGGGGAGTTGGAGTCAAAATAGGTGGAATCAGACCAGAAAGGTGGTAAAAGAGCTTTTTTGGCAGAGCCATTCGAATCCCATATAGTGAACTACTGGGCTGAAAAATAAAACCCACAAAAGGAGATTTGTATAGTTGTGTATACGGTCTTTCAGCCTGACCTTAAGTCAAGCTCAGAGAAGATCAAATGAAATCATCATCATCATTCAATGTTCACAAACAATGCCTCTCAACAAAGCAATCCTGGAAATCCAGGGAAGTTTTCCCCTTTCAGGGACATATTAGAGCTATATTATTATTATATGAAAAGGTTATTATTATTATATTAATTAACATTATATTAAAAGGTTACATTTTAAAGTCAGACTGCGAATGAATCTAATTCTGTAATACAGGTTCCTCAACCTTCAAGGCTGGCTGGGGAATTCTGGGAGTTGAATTCCACCCGTCTTAAAGTCGCCAAGGTTGAGGAACCCTGCTGTAATGGACAAAATGGTACTTTGAATAAGAATACCCAAATTAAGTGCTAACATGAGATTTTTAAATAGGCAAATGGATTTTCAGAATAAAGCAGAGAACAGAAAATGTTGCTTGTCAGATGCCGTTCCCACAAGGAATGTTTTTTAACATTTTCCTTAGGCCAGGGGACAGATCCCATCTACTTCAGTATGTTAAACCTTCGGTACACTAAAATGCAACTTAATATTTACTTTGGCTTTTGAAGGGGCCACTCCAGAAGATAAGAGCTATTTGCCGGGCACACAGAAAGCACAGCGCACTTCTATTTCCACTGAGACCAAGCAAAAAAAGGTTCCTTTCAGTCACTTCCCACAAAGTGGAAAGGGCAATTTCTCACAATACTCTCTGAGCTCTACACAAGCATCCTTTCCAAGAACCAGCATTACTGGAAATCAGGGCATTGTTTAGCTAACAAGACAAGAGAACCAGAACTGGCTTCAGCCCTTTGATCAGGAGGTGTTTGATGACCAGCCGAGTTTGGCCAAGGATCCTCAGAAGCCCAGTCCATCTGAGAACTAGAAGAAGAAACCTCCACTAGATGGAACCAACGGGCTGAAGATTGCACGGCACAATTTTATTGCTGCTCAGAGAAGAGTTTCTAGGGCTCGCTAATGCGTCTGCAGCAGCTTCCTGCCTCTGTGAGAACAAGGTGAAATAGCTGTTCACTTGACTGCTGTTTATTAACGAGCACTTATCAACAAAGAAGCTATCGGTTCTCCAGGGCTGCTTCTCGCTTTTAGACACCTGACCATTTCGAGTAAAGGGAATCATAAAACACTAGGTTAGAATGAGCTGCTTAAGCTAAGACTGCAGAAATACCCACAGTTGGAGGAATGGATCGAGAAGATGGCAGAACTTGCAGAAATGGCTAAATTGACTTGTTTGGTTAGGGAGGGAACAATAACTACTTTCATAAAAGACTGGAAGCTCTTTATGGACTTTTCACTGAAAATGAACTGGTGATTTCTGGATTTACTGATTATGAGGGTTGAATATGGAGAGAAGAGAACCACGTTATGTAATTTAGAAGGGGGGAAATGGTTTCCAGTATGTCTATAACTGCTGTAAAGAAGATCAAAAATCGCTTAAGTATTTTTTCTTTTCTTTTCCTTTCTCTTTGTTTTCAATTGTTTTCAATGCCTTTTTCTTTATCCTCCTTTCTTTTTCTATATTGTTTTGTGTTTATCTTTTAACTTTGTAATAAACTTATTTAATAAAAATCAAATACATATATAAAAGAGTGTGCAGTTTAAGCCACTGCTCAGTGCAAAAATCCAAGCATAAGCAACCTAGACAAAGATAGACAATCTAGTCTATCTTCAGCTTGAACACACCCAATGAATGGAGACTACCACATGAGAAGCTTTTTCCAACATCCAAGTGGAGTCACATCCTCCATTATGGAATGACAAAGGACAGATCTTCACTTTCTTCTGTATGACCTTTCACGTATTTGAAGAGTGTGATCATATTCCTCTTTAGTCTTCCCAAGGCTAAACATTCCAATTTCTATATTTTTACAGAAGTTAGTTTCTACTCCCCTGATCATCCTGACTGCCCTCCTTTGTCTCTGAAACTGCTCCAGTTCTTCTTCCACTCCTGCATCTCAAAAAGCATTGCTAGATGATAGGGCCACTCTGTTCGCTTGCAAATCCTCCAAAGGACCTTCAGCCGTTATTTATTTCCTTACTAACAAAAACAAGCTTTGGAAGAAAGTATATTGCAGTGTCAGAATGAAAGGAAAGAAACAGAAAAACACTAGAAATTGTTCCACAGGACCAAAGGTTAACTGCTTTGTAGGAATGTTAGTCATGAAGGACACACTCTTGGCAACAGTTTTCCATTTAAATTGATGGCACCAGCTATCCAAATAGGGGAAAGTTTTAGCCAACCAAAAAGGAAATGGGAATTGCAGAGTAGAACCGGAACCAAACATGAAACATGGAAATCCATGCAAAACAAAGATTATTATTTAAACACACCTGGGGTTGGATGTGAAGGAAGCTGGGTGAGAGGGGAAAAAACATGGCTGGGATACAACTTTCCACAATTACTCACTAAATGAGTTTCACCATGTAATAAACATTTGCACCACCCTAGTTTCTTCTGTACTTCTCAGTGGTTTGTTGGCACAAATGGCAAGATTTCAGTATGGACTAGGAATGCAAGAAACGAACGAGAAGTGGAGAAGGGACCATGGAATCGTTCCACAGGCAACTGCTGAGAGATGGTCCTTTGGCACCCCAGGGAGGCTGAAATCCAACCTATTTTTCAAGCAGGTATTTTTGAAAATATTTTTCAAATAGATATTTTTGAGAATATTTTTTCAAATATTGAAAGTATTGGAAAATATTAGAAAATATTGAAAATATTTTTCAAATAGGTATTTTTGAAAATATTTTTCAAAAACGATGCTCACTGATTATGAAGAATTTCACTAAGGCACTTACATTTACATGATGTTGGCATCAAGTCACATCATGATGTGACTTGATGCAAATGTCATGATTTGCATCACTTGTGAATGCAGTTGTTACTGAAAGGACACACATTGGCATGAAAAACGCACTTTTGGATTTAATGGACAATCTGGAATAACTGAAGTAAGAAGTTGTACATCCAGAGAACATGGGCCTGAAAACATGAGCCTACTCCTGCTTACTCAGAAGTAAGCCCATTCATGTTTAATGGGCTTTCCCTGGACATACTCCCAGGAAAGCATAAAGTTAAAATCCTATGAGTAAGCACTCAGTTGGGCTTCATTTTGAGGAGACATTTATAGGGTTACACTAAACTCTGCATTCTTGAATGAGAAACGGATTTTGCACCAATGAATACAATCAGCATGGAGACAGAATACAGTTAGTATATAAACAGAGAGCAAACTCCACTCCCTTCTAGCACTGAAGAGGTTACCTAGCTGGGTAACAAAATGTCTGCAAGAAAACAACCAAGCTCAGAGAACCCCAAGGATTCCATAGTATTCCTTTATTTACTAGTCTTTCTAATGAAGGAAAGACAGAGAGACATGTCATACTTCCTCACTGGGAAGAGACTCGATTCTATGATGTCTAAAAGGTCCTAATTTGCTTACCTTTTCACTCCATGCCCAAAGACCAGCTCCAAGAAATGCAACACCAGCTAACTAAGAGAAAAAGAAAGAAGAAAAAAAAAATAGACATTATTTTGCAGAAAGTACAGCTTCATCTGCTGGGAAATTTCAGATACAGAATAGTCAGCAAACTCTTGTGCAAAAGCTTCATCTCCAAGTGACCTTCCTGTAAATGCTTTAGGTCAGTGATGCATGTTGTTGAGGTCAAAAAAGAATGTGCGTTAGCAAATTTGCACCAATGAGATCCACACTGGATGTGAGCTATCTAATAAAAAGATAATACAATTGTGCTGGATAATTTGGCTAAAACTATTCAATCAACAACAGTGGTGACAAATGCAATATCCATATTGGGGTCAGTAGGAAAGGGGTAGAAATGAAACTCACCATATTATAAAGATTATACAAAACTAGGATGTGATAGAATGTGGAATATTGTGGGTAACCAATCTCAGAAAGGTTACTCAGCTGTATGAAATCCAACCAACCAACCAACAAGAGAAATGATCCAAAGGAGTGGGGCTTGCTAAGTGGATCCTTTGCATATGTGTGGGGAGGAAGGAAGACAGGCCAAGTTTCCTGCATCAAGTGGGAGTCATGCAAGGAAATGGTGACATTAAACATCAGATATCTAACACGAAGGGGAACAAGGGCTCCATCCGCTAGTGGAAGGCACAGGAAGAGGGGGAAGCTTCAAGGATGAGACAACAGATCCTACAGAGTTAATTCTTCTGCTGTTTTTATAAATGTCATTCTCAGTTTCAAAGGCCAGGGAGATAGCTGTGCTGGTTAAGACCAAAATAACATGGCCTTCCTGAGTCCTCTTGTCTTCTGACTCCTGGGAAAGGGAAACTCTGCAAGTCAGTCATCAACATGGCTTGTCCACGAAGGCTTGATCTTCAGCTACAATTATCTGGAGCTGGGGGGGTGGGGGGAACAAGACAGAAGTCTAGGGCATGCTGTATTTTTAAAGCTTGAAACAGTTTATTCCTCCATTTGAAAGTATTCAGATGGCATCTCAACTTTCCCAGGTGTCTTCTGAGACCCAAGCAACTCTTTCAACTTCAAAACAGATTCCTTGAACAAAAACAAGACTCTTTGAAGCTCAGAACATTTCTGGAAGGGTTGGAACACTTCATGTAAGATGGAGCAACTGATTCAAGCTTGAAATATAACGAATTCAAAATGTAATGTAATTCCAACAGGTGACTTCTCTTGTCCTTCCACCATTCACCACTTTTTCTGGAGGGGAGGAGGGGGAACATATTAATCTACTATATTAAGATTTGGGGGTGGGATTCTCTGAAAAGGAAAGTTTCTAAAGAGACAACCTTCAGTAGCTGATGGAACTGGAATAAGAAAGCTCTCAGATAGGATTTGGAATTATTTTGCATTAGAACTAATTTCCCCTCCTAACAAAAGCAGGCTTTGACATGCAATATATCTTTTAGTTTCCATCACATTGGTACACGCTCCACCCCGTCTGTACAAAGGAAGTTTATTTTGAGCTCAGAAGAATCAGCACAGCTGGGCACCATTTCTGCTTATCTACTGTTGCATAAAGTCAAAGGGGAAAACTGAGAATGTTCATGAGAAAAAAAAATATTTAGGATAATTGAAAAAAAAAAGAGAGAGAGAGCAATATTCAGAGTTGGGGTTAAGGTTGGGGGGGGGGACTTGGGATGGAATAAGATGTTAAAAATGATGTATCGTTATTGTGGTTATTTTTGAATCAAAGGAGATGCTCCAGATGGTCCTTCATAAATTAAATGCCTGTTTTAGGTTATTTATTTACTTAGCTGCCCATCTCAAACCAGTGACTCCGGGCGGCTAATGACAATAATAGCATGTTTCTATGTAAGCATGACAAGATGACCTTTCAAAGCCTTTTTGCTGCTTTACCAGATTTCTTACCTTCTAGGCATCTCCCAGGTTTGAGCAAGTGTGTTTAGACATGGAACACTGATTTTTATATTAGCTTTGAAGAGTGCCTTAGTTTATATGACATGATCCAAATCATCCTTATCCTGTTTGAGGAACATCTTTCCTACCTTCCCTAAGGAAGAGTAACTTCTCGTGTTCTTCCTTCATCATCTCCTTATGTGCATCTAAGAGGCATCTTGTACTCTAATGCTTCAAAATGACTAGGACTTTGAAACACTCCATGTTTCAGACCCAATATTCACTTTATTTTCCATTTTTCTCCTGGCAACGTGCAGATTAGTCAGGACATCATGAAAGTGTAGAAGAGAGAAAAAAAAATGGGGTTCTAAGTATGTGTAGTCCCCAAGCAAGGAAATCAATTCTACTTACTACCAAACAAGAAATGTGATGGAGAGGATACAATATATCCTCCTTCCTTAGTCTAATTATAGTCTTTCATCAGCTGAAAGGATCCTTCTCCAAGATCCAGCTGGCTGAGGACCAGAATCCATTCAATGCTTCTGCTGCAGTAAATGGACATTGCTGCTGTTTTTGTGCTAACAGATGTTTCTTGGGAGCACATGCATAATCCAGTTTGCCTACAAAGATACAACATCCTTCCTGTTCTGTTCTGTTTTCCTGTTTAAGTCTCTGGGATGTCTTCATGGAGACCCCCCATTTTACTGAACTGCAGAAAAGGATTCACTGCTGAACCAAAATGACAGCCATCCATGTGTGGGCACTGCATGCCTCTGCCATTTTTTTAAGGATAGCAATTGAAAAAAAAAAAGGATGGGGCAACCCATCCCTATGGAGCTCTGTTCAAATCAGGTTCCTGGTTTAGGAATTCTTGATGTTTTGGTAAGGCGCATGAAAACAATGAAATTCCTTACATTCTCTTGCTGCAGCAAGTCATGAGGCTGGTTTACAGAGATGTAAAAGCAACACATCCAGTTGATATTCTACCTAACTGCAGAGTGAGAGGTAAACTTGCTTCTTTTTCCCAGTGCATTAGAAGAAGTGATCTTACATTTGATCAGATTATTGGCTAATCTAGAGTGACAGCAGCTTGTTCTCAGAGGTGTTTTTGACCACCTGCTGTCTGATTCTTCAAGTGGGTGAGATTATCCACAGGTTTGGGGTTTGTTATCATCAGGACACAGATGATACCTAATTATATATCAATCCAGACCAGCCAATGAGGCTGTCAAGATCCTGTCCCACTGTTTGGAGGCTGTGAGGCCCTGTATGGGGAAGAACCAATTCTGACTCAATCCTACCAAGACTGAGTGGTAACAGCCTCCTGGATCTGGGGTTTTTCATCTTTCACCATGGACGGGGTTGCATTTTCCCATTCAAGAGTGGTACACAACCTGGGGGTCGTCCTGGACTCACAGCTCCTGCTCAATGAGCAGATGGCAGCTGTGGCCAGGAAGGCCTTTATATAACTCTATCTGGGGCATTAGTTGTAGATTTCCTGGATCAGGAGGCCCATCAGACAATCACTCATGCCCTAATCTTCTTACAGCTCAACTATTGTAATGCACTCTACACAGGGATTCCCGTGAAGACCACTCAGAACCTTGAGCCGATCTGGAATGCAGTGGCAAGGGCAGAGATGCCTCGGTAGGCCCATCTGACACCCATTTCATCAGCTGCTCTGGTTACCAGTATGCTTCTGGGTGCAATTCAAGGCGGTAGATATGACCTATAAAGTCTTACAGGGCACAGAAACTGGGTATCTGAGGGATCATCAATCTGCCTGGCCCACAGGAGTCGACAAGGTTGGCACACTCAGGGTCCCTTCAATTAAACAGTGCCATCTTTCAGGGCCCAGAAAGCATGCCTCCTCTGTTGTAGTGTCTGCCCCCTGAAATGAGGTTCCCCCAGAGATCTGTGTGGCTCCCATCCTGATAGCATTCTGGAAAGGCTGTTCTCCCAAGGCTTTGGATTGCAGCAGCCAGGGGCCCTGTCGATTATGTTCACCATCTTGTTCCTTATCCTGTTTTATAATTCTACTTATATGTACAGTATATTAAAATTATACATTTTACCCTGTAAGCCGCCTGGAGTTACTGTGTGTGAGTTGGGTGGCCATATAAATTTGTTACATACATACATATTTTTTTGTTACATACATACATACATATTGTAACTTCTACCCTGATCGGTTTTATTATGAGCTGCCCAGTGTCAGTGTGGGGTCAGGCTGTGCTTAAATTGAATAAATTAAATTAAATTAAATGAAAAGATTGGGGTTTAGATGTAGGACTTTTTGGCCCAGAACTACTCAGGTGTGGTTTCTATGTTCTTCTGGCTAACCATCACACAAAGAAATCAACATGAATTGAATTGATTACAAGCCTCGTAGTTTATTTTTCTGTTTCTATTACCACGACCACTTGATCCCAGCTAATGAGTTGGAAAGGAGGGATCACTGTAGCAGGTTTTGAAACACTCAGAAAAGTTAAGAAGCAATTTAAAGGCGATTGTAATGTAGGCTGAAGATCCAAGGTTATGTACATCAATTTATCTTTCAGATTACAGAAGGCTTGAAGATGTAGACCCGGCTTCAGCATTAGATCTTGAAACTATAATGAGATCTGCAGAGACAGTCCATTCCTTTGAGCATCATTAATCATGTCCCAAGTATGGGAATTATATGCAATGAACTTAGTCCAGATCAAGGCACGGGAAGATATTTAGGCCAACAAAAGGCTAACAGTTAGTTTACTAAACTGGTGTAGTTTATGAGATGGGTTTTTTTTATTATTCAGCAATTGCTCTCTGGGAAAGCAAGAACATCTCTGGCTACAATTGATCACCCAGCTTCTACATAGAGGATGCCCCTAAATCAAGGTTGAAGAATTCTTGTCAAAGCAGAGATTATTTTAAATGATTTAGACAGCCACTGTAGCATCCACCTTCACCAGGAACCAACCTGGATTTCAACAATGACAAAGGAACAAAATTTATCTCAAAAAGTAATAAGTTTTCACAGCTGCAGTGAAATGACATCCAGATAACACCATGTGAATAGACAGACTGGTTGCCACACAGCATTACCCAGAAGCCATTTCACCAAACATTTCTCTCTTTTACATATTTTT